CCGGGGAGCACCTCCCCAACCCCCCAGCCATTCTCTGCAACTGGTTTCTTACTGATGGGCATTCCTTCGCCCCACCCCACCCCTTTTTTTAGGTATTGAAAGCGGAAATGCAAGAAAATTATTTGGTATTGTGTGATCAGTAGGAAATGTTTCAGGTAGATATTTTAAGTAGGCTGTTTTACTTCAGTGTAATTTTGTTGTTTTTTTTGTTTTGTGACACCCCACCACCACCACCCCGCCCCAATTTGGAATCTTTTATGAGCTTAAAAACCCCAAGCCAATCTCACTGCCATGGAGTGGATTCCAACACATGGCCATCCTACTGGACAGGGTAGAACTGCCCTTGTGGGTTTCAGAGACTATAGTGCTTTACCGGCGGTCGAAAAACTCATCTTTCTCCCACTAATTAGCTTAAAGATTGCATAATTTAAAGGGAGTCTGCTAAATCTTTTCGGGTTAATGTATGTATGTAAAAAATCTGGGTACCCATTCATGTTTAGAGATTTGAATTGGAAATTTTTGATGACTGTGCTACTTTACTGAGTGGTGAATTTACTACCCTAGTTTCCATTTCATAGTGTTGATCCTAAGGTTATATTGATTCATTTGTTGACTTGACGGTAGTGAATAGAGGGCCTTCAGGAAAACAATGTGAACCAACATACTTGGTTTTATATTACCCTGCCGTAATCCCCTTGATAACCAACAGGAACCGAAACACTTTTTCAATGAGTACATATGTGTGTGTGTGTGTGTGTGTACATACACACAAAGACACCTATCCTTATATTTACATATATACATATCTACTTTTACCTATATATATAATTCTTTACTTTCTTGTTCTTTCTTTTTTCTTTTTTCTTTCCTCATGCCCAACTATCATGTTTACCCATTGTTCACCTCTCAGATACATTCACCTTGGGATTGCTTATTCTGCATATCTTATATAGATTGACACCGAAAGAAAAAAAGAGAGAGAGAGAGAGACCATACAAATAGTTCCAAGTCTAACTGCTAGTCTGACCCAAGTAGATGAGTTTCTCTCAGTTAAATAGCGAGCAGGCCTGTGAGAGTCCTTCAGTCTAAGCCCCTTTTCTTTCAGGTTCTGTATCCCAGGACCTGCTTACCAATAGTACTTACACCCTTTATTCCCCAGCGTTAGTGGCCAAGGGTCACCTGCAAAACCCCATTGCTGCTCCTCCTGTCAAGGATGGAGTAGTCTGTCAAGGATGGAGTAGTCTAGTGCCCCACCCCCACCCATTACACCTTTAGACTTTTCATTGTGGCCCTCTTTTGAATAACCCTAAACCAGTTCAGATGAAGTGTCAAGCACTGTCCCCCTGAGTCAGAAGTCTACAGTTAGTATTCCTCAGGGTCTTCGTGGTCTATTCTGATTTCTTTTCTTTTTTTTTTTTAATTCTGAGTTTTATATTAATCATTCTCTTGTTTAAAAAGTAAACTTTACATACATGCACAAAGTGCACACTGCACATACAAACTTGCATCCCCACACTTTTATATGTCCTAAATAATATAGTTGATTTTGAACTGACCAATGTTATAAAAAAATTTTCATATGAATGAATACTGAGCTGATTTCAAAGCTTTATGTAACTACTACTGAAAATGCCACAAAGAACTAATTTCTTGTGTATTTGTACAACCAAACACCTTGTGGGACTTGGTTCCCTGGAGGTTTAGGTCATGATTTCCTGGGGCATTCCCCTTACTTAGCCTAACAATGTGTTCAGTGTGGCTGTCCTGCCTCCTCACTGCACAGCACAGTAACTTGAGCCTGTTGGCCTGGAGCAACAGAAGAATAAAGTAAATTCAGTTTGAGAAGTAAGAGCTTTAGGAATAGGAAAGGGAATAGAACGTGTGGGGAATTGTCTCCTCTGCCATGAGGCAGAACTAAATGGTGCCTAGCCACCATTCTGAACATCTTAAACATCTGTAGAAGTACTGTATTCTATAGGAAAAGCTGATCAAAAGGAGACAAATGCAAAACACAATTTCAAATTTTCATGGACTCCCTTAGAGGGTGGATGAACTCCTGAAACTATTTCCCTGAGGTGATGATCTTTAAACCTTAAGCCAAAAATAGCACTTGAAGTCTTTCTTTTTTTGCTTCCCTACCTCTCCCTTGAGGAGCGCTGGTGGTGCAGCAGGTTATAAATTGGCCTGCTAACTACAGGGTCAGCAGTTCAAAACCACCAGCTGCTCCTCAGGAGAAAAATGAGGCTTTTTACTCCCAGAAAGAGCTGCAGTCTCAGAAATCCGAAAAGGAAGTTTTACTCTGTCCTGTAGGGTTGATTTGAGTGGGTGGCAATGAGTTTGGTCTTTTTGGTTTTACCCTCCCATGTTTGAAGTATTTTTAAAGACTTTTCTAGCTTGAAGAATGTCTGCCTTGAGTTTTATGCTCATTCAAGATGTATCTATATGGGACCAAATTGATAACGACACTCAAAGATTACATAGAAAACTTAAGAGATAGTGAATGTATGTTAAATGTGGGAAGAACAAAATAGAAAAGGACGTTGACAATGGAGAATAATCAATGTCACATTAAATTGCACATGTAGAAATTGTTGAGTTTGATGTATGTTCTTTGTATATTCTCACAACAATAAAAATTAAAACGTGTTTAAGGAGTAGAGATTTATGCAGTCTTCAGGGAAAGAAATGTCTAAATAAACTTGGTATGCTAAACATAATTGGTTAATGTTCCACGGGCCAACAAGATCATAATACCTTTGGGATTATTTCTCTGATAGGCTATAAAATCACACACCTTATTAATCTCTAGAGTTAACCTCAAACTTGACAGTACTGTAAACTGTCTATGCCTTTATGAGTGCTCATTAGTTAAACTGATAAAGTTATATCCTTAGGGTATCAGATGAGGTCCAGACAGGCGTATTAGAAAGTGCTAGTTTTTTTAGGATATACTCTGGCTGTCTGAGGGAAGGATCATAATATAGTCAATGCTAGATGGAGGTTTCCAAGACACGATGATCGGAACAGCCTCCTCAACTGTTCATCGGGCGCTATTTGTGGCAGTCAGTGGGCCATGCAGTGAGCGAGCCCTGGGAAATAGTCCGCATCAGGAGCGCAGTTGTGTGTGGACCAAGTACAGTGGAAATGTGGTCAGAGAGGGTGGGCCATGCTGTATTTTCAGTCTAAGTTAACAGATTAGGTAAAGCAGAACCTTTGTGGGGAGGTGGGAGGGGGAGTGAAATGGATATTCTGCTGATGCTGTGCTGGCTGCTAGGTGGAGAGAACTGGAACTTCATCAGCATATTATCAAGATCTAGCCAGGCTGAGAGTATTCGGAAATAGGCATCTGAGTCAGGTTTACTGGTACAACAGCACGTTTTCCTCTCTGGTTATACTGCTTCAGTCTGAACCAGTGTCCTCTGTGTCTGGGCACAACTGGACTCGAGCTTGCCTGTGCCGGATCTTTCCTTTATCCTGTATTCTCTCAGGCGGGGCTAAATGAAGTTCTCCAGTAGTTCCTTGGCAAGAAGTGTTAACATTTTTGAGAACTTCCTTACCTGAATGTTTCCATTCTCCCTTCATACTTGATTGATACTTTGGCTGGTAATGAACTTTTAGTTGGAAATAATTTTTTTTCTCTCTTTCTCTCCCAACCTGTAGCACCTACACCTTGATGCTAGTGTTTAATCAATATGATAAATATGAATGTAATATGATGTACCTTAGTGTGGATCTGTTTTCATCCATTAAATTTAGTCGTTGATGGACCATTTTAATCTAGAAACACAAGAACTACTCTGGAGAAATTTTCTTGAAATATTTTGTCATTTTTTTCTTATCTGAAAAGTGTTTAAATGGAAACTTTTTATCCTGCTCTTAAAATTTTCTCATCTGTGTTCTTTATATTTTTTGCCTTATATACTGTTAGATTTTATTTTACTTCCTGACCCTTCTGTTGGAATTTTTCTATTTTATTCTGTTGTAATGTTCTTTTTTAACTTTTTATTTTTTTTTATTTTTTTGTTTTTTCTTTTTGTTTTTTCTTTTTTAACTTTTTGAAACTTCTTTATTTTCTGGATGTTTCTTATGGTAGCACACTAGTTTTATTTCTTAGATACAGTATGTTATTTTTATTGTGTATTGAGGTTATATTGATTTTAAGTTTTCTCATCCTGTGGATTGAGAAGCTACCTTTTCCTGCTCTGTATATGTGATCCATGTTAAAGGTGTGTCGTAACCCTTGCTTTTTTGTTTATGATGATGACTACTCACCACCCACTGACTCACAGTGATGCTATAGAGCAGATAGAGCTGCCCCCTTGGGTTTTTGAGACTTTAAACTTCTATAGGCTCAGATAGCATCTTATCTCTCCCTCTGAGAGACTGGTGGGTTTGAACTGCTGACCCTTGTAGTTATCGGCTCCATGTGTAACCTGCGACACCACCAGTACACCTTTGATGGGTAATTGCATGAAAAAGCTGTTTGACAGCTGAGATATGGATGAGGGTAGCCAGTTAGGTGTCTGTGTAGTGATCTGGCTTGGCTGTGTCTTGGCCATATCTTTATACCTGCCTTGACCTGGTCAGATTCTTCAGAGAAGAGTGTTTCAGTCTCCCAGCTTGAAAGAAAGGATCAGGTTGCCAGTCTTTTGAGGTCCTCTACAATTAGCATATAGTCACTGGGTCCCATTTCTATTGTGACATCCACATCTTCATTGTGCCTGGCATCTCCAGTGGGCCATAAGGAACAGGACAAAGCCTCAGGCTTCTGGCAGAGTATGGAAGGAGCACTTGCCAACAGTGGGAGGGCCAGAGCCTGGGATGTTGCTTTCCCTGAGGCTTTACTGAGCTGGTTCTCATCTTTTTCTTTTCTTTTTTTTTTTTTTTTTGCCACTGGCTTGGAATCAGCTTTCTTGGGTCAGCTGTCAGTAAGCATTGCCCATCAACTTTCTAGCTTTCACAGTTTTATTGCTGTTGTCTTCCCTTCCTCCTGGCATTAGCAGTGTATGACTTTTGAAAAAACCGGAATGGAGTTTCAGGAGGGAGCAACATGAGCTGCTGCCTTCACCCAGAAATGATAATAGGTTTTTCACCGCCTGAGAACACGAGCAGTGCTGTCTGGAAGAGCGGCCCTTTTTGGTAAGCAGCCACCTTTTGGGTAGGTCGTGGTTGGTGGTGTTGAGTGCTCGTGTGTGCTGGAACTGTTTTTCTCGCTCATCCTCACTTTCTTAGGTACGTGCTGGCATTGATTCCAGTGTACATGCAAGGAGACCGTAGCTAAGGGGGCTCAAAGCTAGAACAGTGCTTGGCACATAGCAGCTGCTTCATGAAGCATGGAACACTGCATGGATGTGTTCAGCTGGGAAGTCCCTGAGCGCAGGAGTGAGCCCTGGTCAGTGCTGTCTCCAGAACCTATGCTTTCGTCCACCTCAGAGGCTAGTGCTAGAAGGTGATCTTGGTACTTGGAGGTGACCGCTCCCTCTGAGAAGGCCTGCTCTCAGTCATCTTCATGTCTATGCGTTCCCAGTGCTGCCTGCCCCTGAGCTCCCTTTTATCTCTGGGTCGAAGGCTGTGACTCTGAAGTCAGCTTCTCTGAATTGGGGGAGGGCATTTCCTGAGCCATCTCAGAGGGCGCAAGGGTGACTAAGCAGGGTCCCTGCTTGTAAGCCTGGGTACAGATGGCTTCATTGAGTGACTGGAATTTTGCCACGACTGATTTTTCGCTTAGACTCTATAGCAATCATTTGCATTTAGGTGGCAATTAATGATTCATTTCTATGTTTTTTCAACTTATCACAAAAAATTATAAACATACTGAAAAATGGGGAAAAACCAACAGAGTCAGCATCATTAACACTTTGCCATTCTCTCTCTCTCTCTTTTTGCCTCTTTGATAGTATATTGCCAGCATTGACTGTAATGCTATGTATGTGAGCATGTCCCCTCCAATATAAGACCATCTTCTGATGAAAGCATATTCTACCAGTGTTACATCTAGATATGTCCAAATTGTACTCAGATTTCATCCATTCACCAAGGCTGCCTTTTAAAATAGTAGCTGCTATTTTTAAAATCAAAATTGATAAAAATTTACACATTTCTGTAAAGACTTACATATTTCTGGTTTGCTAATAGTATGGTTTTAAATCTTTTTTGTTATTATCATGAAACATACATACTCAAACCCAACAATTCATTAATTTCAACATATGCAGTTCAGTGACATTGATTACATTCAAGTGTACAACCATTCTCCCTATCCCTTTCCAAAAGGAAGCATGTTTTCAACCTAGGTTAAATTAATGGTGGAGTCTTTTAGGTTTATCCATTGCAGTCCCTCAAGGTGATGTATCATCATCACCTATCCCATCTCCTCCCTGTGTATCATGTTTCCATTCCTCCTCCTCTCCTAGCTTTCTGAACTTTGTCCTGGAGTAAATGCTGTGCTGGGATCTTAATGGTTGATAAACATGAGGGTGAGTTCAGTTCTGTATCTGAAAGGTGGTGACTAAGGCTATAAGCATGCGAGTCCCGCTTGTTTCTATCTGACCAGTAAAGGTGGTCGCCTGTGATTCTGAGTTACGTTCTACATTTTTCTCCCACTCTATCCAGGATCTTTTAAGGTGATCCTTTCGGAGCAGTTGGTAGTGGGAGCCAGGCACCTCAGCATCCTTGGCCCAGCGTTGTGGAGATGGATGTGGGTGTGGGCTGTTGGGCTGTTTCCTTGTGTCTTGATTTTCATCACTGTTCTTTCTCTGGACAGGGATAGATCAATAGTTGCACCTTAGATGGCTGCTCATGAGCTTTAAACAACCCCAGCACAGTAGAGAACATCATCTTTGTGAACTGTGCTATGCCAATTGACTTTGGTGCTCTCTGAGATTATGGTACTGGTCCCCCAGGCCCAGCGACTCTTTCCCTTGAGGCGACTCTTTCCCTTGTTTAAGAAATTTTCATAAATGTATTTTTTTATCACATTCATGGATGTATTTGCAGCAAAGGTAAATATACATATACAAATATCCTGCAAATCTATGTATATTCATGAATGTATGTCCACTCTACCTACCACATCTGTTCGGCCTACATGTCTGTCCAGGCCTCTACAGGTACATCACCCCTAGGCAGCACCTGGTGGTGGCATAGTGGTCACACTTTGAGCTGCTGACCTCGAAGTCAGCTGCTCTGCAGGAGAAAGATGAGACTTCCGCTCCTTAAACAGCTCCAGTCTCGGAAACCCAAAGGAGCAGTCTATCCCGTCCTCTAAGTTCTCGGAGTTGGAATTGACTCGCTGGCATTGATATGTGTTCGCCTCGGTTGCCTCTAACTCTCGAAAACCTCCCAGTGTCTTCCCCGGCTTCCATTATTTGTTGTCAGCCTCCTCCTTACTGTCTATTGCTGTCCCGTGACCCAAGTGAACACTGGGCTACCCAGCCCATGACTTCCCCTTCTTTGCTTCCCGGCCAGGGTGAAATCTTGTGAAGGTTTTGGTTATTACTGCTATTGCCCCCTCATTGGTGAGATGGTGAATTTTAGCAGTGGAAGAGGGGCCTTTAAGGTGATTTGGTTCAATGGTTCCCAAACCCCTTAAGGGTGTATGAGATCGCAATCAGCTTAACTATACAGCGCCATTTGATCTAGCTTCACCATGGATCCCCAGAAACAAACATGATTGAAAAAGCAATTGTAATGGCCACTACTACTGCTGCTCACTGCCATTGAGTGGATTCCAATCACCGTGACACTCTCTTTTGCTGCTGCTGTTGTTAGGTGCCAGTGACTGTGTTCTGACTCAGAGTGAAACAGCGCACAGCCTGGCCCGTGCTCACAGTTGTGGTTAAGTTTGAGCCCGTTGTTGCAGTCACTGTATGAGTTCATCTTGTGAAGGGTCTTCCTCTTTTGTGCTGCCCTTCTGTTCCAAGCATGCTGTCCCCCAGGGACTGGTCTCTCCTGATGACATGTCCAGAGTTCATGGAGGAAGTCTCGCCCTCCTTACCTCTAAGGAGCATTCTCACTATATACTTCTTCCAAGACAGATCTTCTGGCCGTCTATGGTACTGGCAGTATTCTTTGCCAGTACCACAATTCACATGCACAGATTCTTATTGATCCCCCTTTTCGATGTCCAACGTTCTTTTTCCCCCCCAACTTTCAAATGCATATTTTAATAGCAGTTTCCAAAAAAGGCCTGTCCTGCATGTCTTGTAGCCACTTTGCGATGATGACTCTGTGTGACCATGAGTCGACCGTCATGCCGCTAGATAATTAAGCCCCAGAAGCCATCCTGTAGCCCTTTAAAACCTGCAGTTATGTTTATAATCCTAACCTGCCTCCCTCACCTGACCCCTCCCACCTGTGACTGAGGAGGGGACCTGCCAACAGTTAATGTCTTGTGATGCTTTCCTTGGTCCTGCCCCAGTCCCTGGGGAGGAGATCATTGGCTAAGTGGAAGGGCGGTGGGAAGAGGAAGCTCCTTGGCGAGATGGATAGGCACTGGGCCTGTAACAGTGGGCTCCCACATAAGAACTCTTGGGAGGATGGCCCAGGACCAGGTGGAGGTTTGTTCTGTTGTACACAGGGTTGCTGTGAGTCGGAATCAACTCAATGTCCATGTGAGTCGGAGCCTGACAATGACACCCACTGTCATATCTAATAAACACTGTGACTTGTGATGAAGTCTGTCCCTGTACAAAGGTGCTGATGGTCTCCCTCACTCCAGTGATTCTTAACATTTGTCTTTGTCCTTTCAGTAATCTCTGTTGAGTCTGAGACTTTCTCCCTAACACACGAGGTTCTCCTGGAGAGTTTTTCAAACTAGATTTGTTGGCATTCCTCTTGACAGAAATCTGAGCTCTCCCCATTCTTCTTCTTTTTTAATCGTTTTATTAGGGGCTCATACAACTCTTACCACAATCCATACATACATCAATTGTGTAAAGCGCATTTGTACATTCATTGCCCTCATCATTCTCAAAACATTTGCTCTCCACTTAAGCCCCTGGCATCAGCTCCTCATTTTTCCCCCTCCCTCTCTGCTTCCCCCTCCTTCATGAACCCTTGATAATTTATAAATTATTATTTTGTCATATCTTGCCCTGTCCGATGTCTCCCTTCCTTCACCTACTTTTCTGTTGTCTGTACCCCAGGGAAGAGGTCACATGTAGATCCTTGTAATCGGTTCCCCCTTTCCAGTCTACCCTCCCAGTATCGCCACTTACACCACTGGTCCTGAAGGGATCATCCGCCCTGGATTCCCTGTGTTTCCAGTTCCTGTTTGTACCAGTGTACATCCTACGGTCCAGCCAGACTTGCAAGGTAGAATTTGGATCATGATAGGGGGGGTGGGGGGGATGGAGGAAGCACTTAGGAACTAGAGGAAAGTTGTATTTTTCATCGTTGCTACATCGCACCCTGACTTGCTCGTCTCCTCCCCGAGACCCCTCTGCAAGGGGTTCTCCAGTGGCCTACAAGTGGGCTTTGGGTCTCCACTCCGCACTCCCCCCGCCCCCATTCACTATGGTAAGATTTTTTGTTCTGATGATGCCTGATACCTGGTCCTTTCGACACCTCATGATCGTACAGGCTGGTGTGCTTCTTCCATATGGGCTTTGTTGCTTCTGAGCTAGATGGCTGCTTGTTTGTTTACCTTCAAGCCTTTAAGACCCCACACGCTATATCTTTTGATAGCTGGGCACCATCAGCTTTCTTCGTCACATTTGCATATGTACCCATTTGTCTTCAGCGATCATGTCATGGAGGTGAGCACACAATGATGTGATTTTTTTGTTCTTTGGTGCCTGATAACTGATCCCTTTGGCACCTCGAGATCACACAGGCTGGTGTGCTTCTTCCATGTGGGCTTTGTTGCTTCTGAGCTAGATGGCCATTGTTTGCTTTCAAGTCTTTAAGACCCCAGATGCTATATCTTTTGATAGCCGGGCACCATCAGCTTTCACCACATTTGCTTATGCACCCGTGTTGTCTTCAGTGATCATGTTGGGAAGGTGAGCATCATGGAATGCCAGGTTAATAGAGCAAAATGTTCTTGCACTGAGGGGGTACTTGAGTGGAGGCCCAATGACACAGGACCTTTTTACAGTGTTAGAAACTGAAGATGTCACTGAGAGGACTAAAGTGTGCCTGTCCCAAACCATGGCATTTTCAATCACGGGAGCCCAAAGACGAATTGCTGCATTTGAATTATGATGCTGGCAAAGAACGAATGATTCTGTCTAGGAAGAAGTATAGTCGGAATATTTCTTAGAAGTGAGGATGGTGAGGCTTGGTGCCATATACTTAGGCTATGTCAGAAGAAACCAGCCCTTCCAGAAGGACATCATGCTTGTTAAAGTGTAGAGGGGCAGTGAACAAGAGGAAGCCCCCTAGTGAGATGCATTTCAGTGACTGCCAAAGTGAGCTCAGGCAAAGCAATGATTGTGAGGATGATGCAGGCGGGCGGGACCAGCCATGTCTTGTTCTGTTGTGCTCAGGGTCATTGAGGGAGAATTGACTTCTTAGCACCTAGCAGCCCCCATCCAATTTCAGTGTAGCAGTTATCTGTGATTTACAATTCAGAAGGCAAATAAGCATTCACTGAGATTAAATATGTAAAATGTCTTTTCCAAAAGTATTAAAATCTCTCAATAATTCATGTTGTTAGATTTTAAGGCCTATAAAATATTCAGTGTGGGTGCTTAGAAATCAGGTTTATAGTGCACCCAAGAAGAAAAACTATTCTGCAGACTCTTGGCAAGGTTTAAACCACCAGTAATCACCAAAGGTCATTGTCAACCTCATTGGACTGCTTGCTTCAGTTTTCAATGAGCACTGTGTTCCTGTAAATTGGGACGATTTCCTCTTTTGTCTTAGTCTTGATTTTTTTTTTTTGTCAGGGGGGTCTTACAGGCAGTGGAACAGCAGCTAGATTCTTTCCATAGAATGTGAGACTGGATGATGGTGGTCAGCAGTGTAGCAGAGTGGCCGTGGGCACAGACTTAGGAATCCAACTTGCTCTGCAGTGGAGATGTTGGCGTTCCCTTCTGTTCGCTGCCTGACCTTGGTCAAGTTAACTATTCTCTCAACCCGTGAGCCACGTGTGGAGCGCTGTAAATATCGAATAGCCAGCCTATAAATAACTTCAACACCACCGGACAGAGACCCATCACTACGGAGCTGACTCCAACTCACATTGGTCCCAAGGCTGTAATCTTTACGGAGCAAGCAGCCTGCCAAACCTGTCCCTTGAAGCTGCTCACTGCTGGCCTTTTGGTTCCCACCCGAGTGCATGACCACCAGGTCCTCTTGTAAAGAGCTTAAAAAGAGGGGCGTGGATTCCAATTCAAAGCGACTCTATAGGGCAGATCAGAACTGCCCCATAGGGTTTCTTAGACTCTAAAATCCCTGAAGAAACATGTAGGCACATCTTTCTGTGGTGGATTGACAGGTGGTTTTAAACTACCAACCTGTTTGCTAGTGCCTGAGCATCTTTAGCCACTGCCCAAATTTAGCCACTGTTTCAAACTTAGCAAATACCCTGTTATTAATAGCTAATGGTAATATTAGGAGAGATGTAGACTTTTATTTTTTTGCATTATATTCATTTATTTTTCCTTGGCTCTGTAGATTTCATAAAGGAGGGTTCTAAACAAATAATAAGAATCAGCAAGTATATGGTGTTAATTGTCTTTAAAACAAAACAAAGACAAGAACAACTTTGTATTTTAAAAAAATGTAATTCATGCTCAACCCAGCAAACTTCGAAAATATAAAGCAAAAAGCAAAACAAGCATGTGTTCCTACCATGCACATATCTTATGAAAGTGATGGTGTTTGTCCTTTCAATATATTTATGTATGTGTATGTTTATTTGAATAGATACAGCTAGTTCTTTAACCTGCTTTTTCACTTATTAGTCTTTACAAGGCATCCTGGTGACAACCATGGGTACGCACTGAGCTGTTTAACCCAGGGTCAGCGTTCAACCCACCCGCAGCTCCAGGGAAGCAGGATGAGGCTGTTTATGGCTATAAGGGTCTGACTCCCGGAACCCCAAGGGATCAGTTTTTCCCTGACCTATGGGGGTCTTTATGAGTTGGACTTGACCCCACAGCAGTGGGTTTGGGATAGTCAGTACATTTACTCATGCCAGGAAATCTTTCTCAAAAGTAGACTTTAAAATATCCACATTAAGTAAACTATTTTACTTACATATTTACTAATCTATTAGACTTTGAGATTTAGCTTTAGTATCCTTTGCCATATCAATTTCCAGAGGCCCGATAACCTGTATTAAATATTGTGTCGCCAAGTTTCTACTTTCAGTCAGGGAGACAATGTCAATTTTTCAGTTGGGTTCTAAAACTCATTGCATTGGCCACAACTTACAGATGTTGCTCCTGATAATGGGTTTTATTAGGGAAGTTGGCTTTCAGGTGAGAAATGCTTTGGATACAGCTGTTCAGGGTTCCTGCCCACAGGAAGGTGTCACATTTTTTCACCACATCAAAGATTCTGGTTCTAGGTAAGGCTGTCATGTGTCTGTCTCCCAACCTCACAGCCCCTTCCTACAGAATCAGAGCCTCTTTTCAGATTTACTACCTCCGATTGATTAGTAAGCAAGTGCAAGCTTGCTTACTGGGTAATACATTCCTTCCTGCTGCCCACAAATTTGGAGATTTCCTTTATACTCTCAGCATGCCAGCCCTGAGCTTAGGAGTTTCCCCGCCTCCCTCACTTTTGCCCTGCTGGCTCCCACCACTCCTTTGGGTTTGATCGTGTGTTGGAATGGCACAGCTCTCAAGAAGCCTTCGTAGAGCTTAAGTGAGTTTCCTAGAGGGAAAGGGTATTTGAAGGATCCCCTGGACAGAGCTAACCTCTCATGGTGCCGCCCTCTCAGGGAGTCCCTGGTGAATGGTTAAACTCCTGCCTGGTAACTGAAAGGTTGGCTCTTTGAACTGATCGATAGGTGCCTTGCAATATGCTTCTGATAAGTCAGATTCGGAAAAACCGAACTGAATGTAGTTTACTCTGGGACACATGGGTTTCATGATTTGGAATCAACTCCATAGCAAGAGGTTTGGTTGTGGTTTTGACCCTCTCTTTTAACAATCAGGAAGCTCATGGCATGTTGGGGTCCAGAGTTTTTATTGGGTATGTTACTCTGGAATGCAAATTCCAACTCCTCCTCGGTGAGGCCACCTGATTTCATGAGGTATCATGTCATGGCTCCGCCAGCTCCAACTCCTGAGTCCCCTCATCCCTCACCTAATCTGCAGGGCGTGGCCTGAGATTCTAAGATTCAGAGAAAAAAAAGTGGGCCTCAGGAATACAGGACACAGACCAGAATCTTTAGGCAAAGTTCATGTAAATGCCCCATTCTTTTTCTTAGATTTTCTTTTTGTTTGTAGGGGACACCATTTAATGAAAAATCCACACGTAAAGGGTAAACATGGCAGGCTTCCTAGATAATTTCCGTTGGCCGGAATGTGAGTGCGTTGACTGGAGCGAGAGAAGGAACACAGTGGCATCTGTGGTCGCAGGCATATTGGTAAGTGAGAAAATCTGCCTTGTGATTGACCTTGGAAACCATTGATCCCTTTGACCCTTCCAGATTGATTTCCTTCACTGTTGTTTTATACAAATAATTATCAGAGTTCTGGATAGTGTTACTACACAGAACAAGGGAGCCCTCAGTTATGTGACTTTGATAATACAGTGATTATAGATCTTTTATAATATGCATATGTCACAGGTCTCAGAATGTTAAGTAACCAAACATGACTACGTGACTCATTTTCAGATGTAAAGACAGCATTAAAAACCTGCTCTGGGGCAGGGGTACCATCTCCAGTCCCCAGACTGCAGCACTGGGACGGGAATGGGTGGGAGGAAGTAGAGATTTGTGGAAGAAACTTACTTCATTTTCTTCCCATTGTTTTCTCTTGAACCCTTTTTCTTGAAACAATCAAGCATATAAACAAAAGTTGAAAGAATGGTGTAAAGGTTCTTTCTATTCTTCTTACCTTTATTTATCATCCAGCTTCAAAATATACCAAATCATGACCAGTCTTTCCTTCATTATAGTTATCAACCACTTCGCTCTTCACTACATTATTTGAAACACATTTCAGTGTCTTTCTTGTATTAAAAAAAGTGTACTGTGATAACATATAAAATATAGAATTTGGCATCTTAGCCATTTTAAATGTTCAGTGCCATAGTTGATATTCACAATATAATATGACCATCCATCATCACTGCTATTGCTGCGTTAGTTCTTTTTTGAAGGGTATAGTTCAACACCTGAAGTCCAACAGGAAAAAAAAAAACAACAACAAAAAGGACCCCTGATGGCATAGTGAGCTCTGACACCGTTGCCCCTGGGTGTGCACCCACTGCTCCTCCCTGGGAGAAAGATGAGTCTGTCTGCTCCATGAAGATGAAACAACAACAACAGCTAAAGCAGAGCAGGAACTAAAGATTACTGTGTAACACCTGCATGTGGAATGCTCAGATGTTTACACATTTTCCTCTCTCTTTAGAGTTATCTTGCCTGCACCTAATTTGATAATAACATTCTTTGGCAATAACATGTAAAGTCCATTCAGCTTATTTTACGTAGAAACATTACTTTTACAAACAGAATGTTGAATCAGTTACGTAATAGTCAAATTTCATAATACAAACTAGCATTTAAAATAGCATAGCTGACGCATGGCAAGTAGACAACTCACTTGTGGAAGCAAAAATACTTGGGCATACTAAAGCGAAACCTGCTAGTCATCACCTGGAGCCCAAGTGGCATAATGGTTACGCATTGGGCTGTTGACCACAGGTCAGCAGTTCAAAATCACCAGCCGCTCCCCTGGAGAAAGATGAGACTTTCTATTCCCGTACAGCGTTACAGACCCAGAAACCCATGGGGCCGCTGTGCCCTGTTTTACAGGGCCACTGTGAGTCAGAATTGACTCGATGGCAGGGAGTTTGGGTGTTTGGACTAACCGTCTGCATTTGGCTTAGCCTGGCCCAGTCCGAATGTCCTCTGGAGAGATCAGAAAGACAGGACTTGATCAGGGATGGGGTCAAGTGGAGAGTAGTTAAAAGGGGACCTTCGGCTCTCTATGATGATGGTGGGAAAGAAGCAGAGAATTCTTACTCAAATACCATTTTAATCTTGATTGAGAGCAGGACTTCAGAACCTGACACAACTTAGTGACCTGTATTCCTCTCATCTGCTGTAGCGCAAACAGGAGATTCTTACTTTTATATTTCAGGGTTCAACAGTCAAGTAGAAATATTTTTTCAAATTTATGTGCTAGAGGAAACGGGCAGTTCAAGATGAAGCCGGTGTGCTCGCATTCTAAGTGCCTTGGGCTATTTCTCAAGTTCTTTACAGGTTGGTGGATAATGATTGACGCAGCCGTGGTGTATCCTAAGCCAGAGCAGTTGAACCATGCCTTTCACACGTGTGGTGTGTTTTCCACATTGGCTTTCTTCATGTAAGTATGAAGGTAATCCTCAAATCAAGATTGCATTTCTAAAAAATCATTCCCTTCAAGTTCAATGCTATATATTGGATAACTATTAAATTTAATGAATAGATTTTCCTTTAAGATGATAACTATGCCTGTACACCCTCATTTTATTAAGATTTTTTTATTAAGAGTGAATGTTAGATTTAGTCAAATATCATTTAACGCTTATGAAGATTATCATGTGATTTTTTTTTTTGTTAGTGTCAATCTGGTAAATTACCATATTTTATATGTTTCAATGTAGACCTGAAAAAATTGAATGCCTTTGAAATCAGGCTCTTAAAATGATAAATGTTGGCAATTTTCTTGTCAGATAAAAGATAACGTTATGTCTTAAAATTGATGGCTGTGCTCGATTTCTAGTTTTCTAATGTGACATTGTTGAACACCCAACTTTGGCCATCAGTTTGAAATTCAAGGAGGACCAGCTCTCACAATGACCAGGAGGTCGAGGGGCATGGTGGGAATTGAGAAAGATAAAGGGATCAGATAAGAGACAGGCGAGTATGGGCCTTCCAGGGCACGAAGAGCATCGACACGCCAAGGCCCCAAACGTGAGTCAAGGCAGGTTTATACACAGTTGTTGTCACTCGGTGACAAGTTCTCTGACAAAGGAATTGTTGACAGTTTCTTAGAGGGCAAATAGAAGCAAGGTGATCTTTCACCAGTTAGACCATGGTTTGGAGGAGAGGATAACTGGCACTTGCAGAATACTGTGTTCCAGCCGTTTCCCAGGGAACAGGAGAGCAAGCATTTACCTTATCTTCGTTGATGTCAGACTTTCAGTTTCAGCTCTGGGCAGAGCTGACAGCTTTTTCCCACGGCCCTGCTTAAACCGTGGAATATGGCAACAGTCCTGTCTTATATGAGAAAGGAAAATGAGGTACAGACCGCCCCGTAAATGCACTCTGTCACTCAGAAGCCTGGGTGTTCTGAGCAACAGAAGATACCTCAAGACAATGTGCTCCCTTGCATGGGGATATTCTTTTTTCTTTGATGGGCGACTGGCTGTGCTTGCTAATATTTGGCAGGAGGGGAGGATTTGGCAGGAGGATTGGCCTCCGCATCCACAAAAGAGGTTTGTCTGTGACATTTCTGTCGCATTACATTTTCTAGCTTATCAGGCTTCTCACTTCATGAAGGCAGGGATGTCTTTAACGATTGAAAATACGTTCAATAAACACTTTAAGATTATATCATTTTCTTTTATTGTCAGGAGTTTGCAAAATAATTTATAATAAAGAAAATAGAACTATGTAGATCCATTCAGACTGCTAAGAAAAGGCAATTCTTGCTTCTAATTCATGAGCCCTGCTCTAACAGATAAGAGAAGCCGAATAAAGTAGACCATTGTACATATAGACCAAGTTTCCTCTGAGTTTGAGAAATGGAATAGGGGAAATTTTCAGACTCTCATCCTGAGTAAAACTGTTTAACTCTTGATTGCCATGAGAACCTTAAAATTGTACAGCCAGCTTTAATTTATTCATATGTAAAGGTAAAGTAGGCAAAGACATCTTAAAATTGGCTCCCCCTTTAATGATCTCTGGGAGCAGATCATTGATCTCTTAAAATAAGTATGGGTTTTCCCAGTGTACGTTAGGAAAATTAGGCAAATGTGATATTTCTATTCACTCGGTTATTAGTTAAATTAGAAGGTGATATTTATTCATGCAAATGGTTTATTAGGAAATTAACTATTGTCCCTTTTAACATCTGTATACCTTTAACAGTATATAACTAGGTGACTTTGTTTTGTTCTAGGATAAATGCTGTGTCCAATGCTCAAGTGAGAGGTGACAGCTATGAAAGTGGCTGTTTAGGAAGAACAGGTAAAGCCCCCTGGAGGTGCTAACAAATGCAGGCAGGCAAAAGAAGGGTGCATTAGCAGGGCAAGAGGGGGAGGGGAAACTGTAGTGAATCATTGTTCAGGGCTGACAAATGTTTATATGGAATATTTATATTAACTTAGAAAAAGTATCTTATGTTAATTAAGTTCTTTCCTATTAAAAAGTTAGTTACTGCCAGGAGTTACCATTTCTGTGATCCTTTGCTGTCCATATTATGTAGTTGTGTTAACTGTTCCTGAATTGCCCTCTGTGTACAACAGGATCAGATTCATAGGGTTTCACTGGCTGATTTTTACCCCCCAGAAGTAGATTGCTAGGCTTTTCCTCTTAGTCGGTCTTAATCTGGAAGCTCTGCGGAAACCTGGTCCGCATCAGAGCAACACCAACTAACGCCTTCACTGATGCCCAGGTGGTGGCTGCATATGAAATGCATTGGCTGGGAAGCACACCTCATCTCCCCTCACAGAAAGTGAGAATCTACTACCGAACTGCCACTGTCCCCTATATTTTATACACCTCATGTTACCATTCAAAATCAGGGGGTCTTAGAGTCCGGGTGGTGGACTGGTCCCCTCGTATATTAGGTTAATGATGGTTCTAGTGTTATATCTTCCTAAGACATTACAGATTTACAAAAATGAACAAAAGCATAAAGCCTCTTTCTCCACAGGCGCTCGAGTTTGGCTTTTCATTGGTTTCATGTTGATGTTTGGGTCACTTATTGCTTCCATGTGGATTCTTTTTGGTGCGTATGTTACCCAAAGTAAGTATTGATTCTAACTTCATTTCATAGGAGGGATTCAGATAGACCTTTTTTTTTAAAAAAAAAGATCATTTATTGGGGGGGAGGGGTCTTATAGCTCATAACAATACATACATCAATTGTATTAAGCATATTTGTACATATGTTGCCATCGTTATTTTCTAAACATTATATTCTATTTGAGCCCTTGATATCAGCTCCTCTTTTTATTCTCCCTCCCCACTCCCACCCTCGTTACCTCTTAATAAATTATAAATTATTATTTCATCTCTTACACTGACTGCTGTTTCCCCTCCCCCGCGGTTTCTCCCCTCCCCCCTTCCCCCTACTTTCCTGGTATCGCTACTCCCTTTTCTGTTCCTGAGGGTTTATCAGATATGACTTCGACATTTGCCCTAGTCTGTTAATGGTTGAATTATTTAGTAAATTTGGAATTGTTCTATTGAAGATACATAATTCTTTAGTAAAAGACTTTATTTACTTATTGTGAATCTTATTGAAACTGCTAGAGTCATAGGGTGCAGTAGAGTTGCTCTGGTTCACAGAGGAAGCCCCGGGTGACATTGCGTCACCCTCCACCATTTCTAGAATTTCTCACTTCCACACTTAGCTTGGACAGCCAGGCTCTTACAATAGAGATCCCGTTTCTTGGTAGTTGCAAAAGTAAAAGTGAGAAACCAGTACAGGTCCACAGACCCTAATTCCTAGTTCCCAAATCCCTAAAGCTCCGAAAGCCACCTTTTCTCATAATCAGTTTGGCAGCAGTTTGACCTGAACTAAACAGGGTTAGAGAAAGGAAGAGACTTTCTGCTCCCCAAAGAGTTAGAGTCTTGGAAACTGACAGGGGCAGTTCTACCTTGTCCTGTAGAGTCGGCATCAACGCAGTGGCAGTGAGTTTGGTTTTGGTTTGCACAGGGTTAATTTTGGTCTTTATTCCATTTAGTGTATAAATATTCAGATGTTTCATTGAAAGGATGTTGATTAATTGTGAAATGCTGGCTCGAATCCAGCTGGGGTGCTGTGTATAATACTTACTCTGTTTTACCATTCTAAAACCTGAAAACCCTCAGTTCCAAAGTCCTTGCTCCAAGGATATTTCAGTGAGGGCTGTGGACCCCAGAAGCAGCTTGTGAAACTTTGTAGAGCCTAGACGGAAAATAGAAATACATGATTAATCCTGAAAGGCATGTAGGGAAGTACCAAGTTTGCAAAGGTTGTGAGCTCATTGGTTGTATCTTAATCTTTTAAACAATTAGTATAGATTGAGCGATTTCTCCATTATAGATCTTTATGTTTCTATAGCATAGTTTGTTATATACAGGTTTTTTTAAAATAGAATATGACTTTACTTCATAGGGAATTTCTAACACTTTTCTAATCCTTCTAAAGATTTTTTTGAACAGTTAATAACCATATTGGCAACTAATGTTATTTAGCACTTATGGGTCAGTTACTGCTGTAACGACTGTACATAATCACTTACTTTTCAGGCCCTGTGAGCATTCTAATACACATTTTATAGATGAGGAAAATAAGTATAATGAAGTTAAATAATTTTCATATTTAGTCACTGGTGAAGTTAAGATCCAAACCCAGAGGGGTCTGGCTCAAAGCTGTAGCTCTTAACTACTATCTTGTTTGATATATATCAAAACCTAAAAGTTGAACCAGTTTTTTAATCAACCTGTGTGGTTTTAGAAAAGGTCAGTATCTAGAATAAATGTAAATAGCTCCACGAAGATACTAACCATTCCCACCTGGATAGATCCCATGCAAAGCATAATTGTGAATTGTAATGAATCATTTTTATAGCTGTTGGATTTGCAAAATTTGCAAAAGTAGAACTCCTTAATTAATGAGAGAAAATACCACAGGGTTTAAATAAGCAGGACTTGAATCTGTATTTTTCTAGCATCTGTGTTTCTGTATGGGACAAGCTGTATGCCAGGTGCATTTCCCAACGTGGTTCTGGGGCAGCAAAAACCCTAGCAGTTACTTTAAACAAAAACAAAGCCTAGTATGTTCACTCTTTTTTATCCAGAATGAAGCAGCCCTACCTTTTCTTTTTAAAAAAAAATTTATACCCCAAACCAATAGCTGGATTTCCTTGGTATTCATGAAACCAGTGTAAACTATTAAAGTAAATGGGTTTTTTTTGAGCCTGGATGTACATGTAACTTTTTGAAAGGTACATTTTTGTGACACTAAATCAATAGGCAACAATCTTTATTTTTCCTGGGATATCTCTTTTTATTATTTTGGAAGAATCAGATTGGATTTTCTTATTTTGAATTCATTATGGATTTCTTACAGTTAATGGCCAATACCAATGTTTTGTAGTATTCCAAACCAGTGCTGTCAGGTTGGTTCTGACTCGTGGTGACCCTGTAAGGTTAGAGTAGAACTGCCCCACAGACAGGGCTTCCACAGCTCTAACTCGTATGGAAGCCCACTGCCACATCTTTACCCACAGCAGTGGCAGGTGGGTTCAAACCAACCACCTTCCAGTCAGCAGCTGAGGACTTCCACCACCAGGGCTCCTTCTGTCATAGACAGAGTGTGTCATTGTAACGAACCCAAAGACTGTCCTATTGTTATTGACCTTTTTTTTTTTTTTTTACTATTTACCTTTTGTAATCTAATCTGTTTTCCTCTCTGTGTGTAGATACAGATGTTTATCCAGGACTAGCTGTGTTTTTCCAAAATGCACTGATATTTTTTAGGTAAGTTGGCTAATTGCTCAATTGTATCAGTGACATGTAAAGATGTGCTATTTTTATCATAAGAGCAGCATCTACACAGACCACTTTAAAAATCTCTGAGATTGGTTAGAACAATGTTCTCAACCTTCCTCATGCTGCGACGCTTTAATATAGTTCCTCATGTTGTGGTGACCCCCCCCAACCATAACATTATTTTTGTTGCTACTTCATAACTGTAATTTTACTACTGTTATGAATTGGGCGATCCCTGTGAACGGGTCGTTTGACACCCTCCCCCACCCCCCCAAAGGGGTCGTGACCCACAGGTTGAGAACTGCTGGGCTAGACTGAGTAAAGCTGCTTTTTAAAGTTGAAAATCCCACTGTTGTTGAAGAGCATCATAGACTAATTACTTAAATAGGGGATCCTGTTATGTGCCAGGACCTCTGTGGCATGCTTTTCAGATGCTACCTTGTTACGACTTCTCAGGGAATATAGAGATCAAGTGAGGGGGAAGGAAGTGAGGCTCAGAATTCACTTAAGGATACCTGCTAATAAATGCAGAGCTGGCATTTGACTATTGCTTCCATAACCTGTGCTTTAAAAAGTCTCAGATATATTTATTAATTGAAAAAGGAAACATCAGAGGCAGACTGGCTATGAGGCCCACTTGTGAGTTTCCTTTGTGCTGGGCCTAATTCAGTACTGGGGTGCAGTATGGCCTCTCCTCTTTTTCCTTTGCAGGCTCAGTGCTAGACCTTCTCATTTTTCTCTTTCTAGGTCACCACCTTTATGTTTGGAACTTTAATCATTGCCTATATACCAATGAGTTGAGAATTCTATCTTCAGGTCTAAACCGTGTTTCCAGATCCTTAATAAACCTCTTGCTTTGCTTGATTGACATTTCCAGTTCAGCACAACCTTCTTGCTTACAACTCAACTCATGATTCGAGTGTCCCATCTCTCCAACCCCACCTTTGCTGAGCTAGCTCTCTCTTAGATCCTGGCTGAGGTGCTCCTTCCTCGGCACATCTTTGTTGACCTCTCTCACTGGCTTCCATCTGTATGTGCCGCTGTCATGCTCCGATGCTCTATTATTCTGATGCCCAGACACACTCCCAGTTCTGAGCCGCATGCTTGGTGCATGGCCAGTACTCGGGGTGCAGTGATGATCTGCTGAGGGAACTAAAGGTGGCTGCATGAGCTAGGTTGAATATATATATATATATATATATATATATATGTTACATGGAGAAATTCTTTGACTTTTCGTATATTTGAAAATTTTCATAATAAAAGGCTGAGAAATGCAACCAGGAACTTAAACCAGTACAAAAAAAGTATCATTACCTTACCTCCCCTGCTTTGATGAGGGCAAAGACCAAGGGGATCTGCAGTAGGTCGGTAGTGCTTCCCTTGAGACCAGGAAGAAAGGGTTACTGAGCTTTCTTACTGAACCAGGTTTAGATTCATATTCTAGCTCTGGTCTTGATTTGCACTAATAAATTAGGTAATTGTTTAGGGGTGAGTGGTCGGGAATGAATTTCAGCATGGTCTGGCAGAACCTAAAGATGTAAAATGGCCCCTGTACCTGCCACTGTGAGAAATGTCCCCTTTCCTTCCGGGTTTGCTCTAATGACATTGCAGGCTCTAAGGTCGAGGGCTTACCTAACCTGAGGCAGCTAGGTTGACGACTGCTTTTCAAAATATGTGAATTGAGGGCAACTGCTGCATTATCGTTCACTTTTAGAAACTCATACAAAGGAACCAGTGAACTTGTCGACATGTATTAGCAGATGGGTTCTTTGTCGCTGGCTCCACATGTTGTTTGCTCATGATTCCTTCATCTCTCTTTAGCACTCTGATCTACAAATTTGGAAGAACGGAGGAGCTATGGACCTGAGATCACGCCTGCCATCACCTTTCCTTTTTGTCATGTTCCATTTTTAGATCCGTTTTTATCTCAATATAATTTACACATTGCCAAATGGAACAGATTGTACATTAGGTGTCTTTGTTCCTGTACATTTTTATGCTGTGAGTTTTGAAAGAGTTTCATGAAATTTCTGTTTGTTTATTTTTCACTGAGTATAGACTGTTAATATGTACATAACATAGGATTATATGGATGGAATGATGAGTATCAGTTTTTTATTCCTGAAGACTAATTGCGTGATCTGTTCCCAATGTACATCATGTCACTTTACGGTTAACTGTTTCAGTATGTTTAATTTTTGAAGACATGTGAAAAATATAGTTTCATGGACCTGAAGTAAGCACTGAGCCACTTAGAAAGGTATTTCAGCAAGCTGTAATTTATTTTGGCTTAAAAAAGATTTTTTTAAAGGAAAAAAAATAAGTTCTTATATACTAAAGAAGTGGACTTTTATAAGAAGATTTTTTTAAATGCCTGAAGGGCTAGTTTGAAAGCCTCCTTTGGAAACGACTCTTCTGATAAGACTTTGTTTGAGAAGGGATAGTTCATTATCAAATACACTGGATTTTGTAAGGTTAATGTAAAAAGACTGCCAGGCAGCTGGGCGGCAACATGTTTCTTATAAAAGCAGCTTAGGTTCCCTCTCCACTGGGATTCAACTGTGACAGCCTACCATTATCCACATTTTAAAATCCAATTATCAAGCAAGTTTGAGGCAACCACAGTTTTAAAAGCATGAGCCATATAACAAAAGGGGGCATAATTAGTTTGAAGACAAAAGTACTTCCTCCCTAAGGGAATTATTACAACCTAGTGAAAAATTAGGCATTTTATTTACTTAGCTACCAGATTGCAAGTCTCATTTTGCTCTTGCTCTCAAGCTTTGGATGAAGTGTTCCTGCAAAATAATATCTTCAACTTGAACGTTTGTGCTACAATCAAATACTTCTTTTACTGAGTTTCAAATACTGTATTTTACTATGTGCACTCCTATGAGAGATTTCAGGGTGTTAGTTGGGTCTTTAAGCACCATTTTTGCTTTCATTTGTTTTACAAGTTTTATGTTGCACTTTCTCCTCCAGAAGATTTTATAGAGCCATGTTACAAGACAGAATGACATCAATGGGATTACCGTGTTTTTTAATGCAGGCCTTACTTTGCTGAACTTCTCTGGCCTCTGGAGAGGCTAGCCAGGCACAGAGTATGAAGCAGCTTGTGGAACGCTGTGCCATTGTCTAGCTACCATCTTGTCTAATCCTTGCTTCTTGTGCTTTTCGTCAAAATGTCAGTAAACTGTCTTGCTTCCAACACATTGTAAGACTGATTTACTTGATTCCACTTGTAACCGGTTGCAATAAATATCACATCTCATGTGTACTAATGTTTTTAAATTTGTTGGAGAAAACGAGCCATTAAAATGATATGACCTTCATTTTTCAATTATTCACATCAAGGAAGCTGTTTGTAAGATAAGGAGAAACAATATATGCAGACATGCGCAATGCTAGTGTGAAGGTTAATGAAGGTCATCCCAAAGACAACTAAATCTGCCATTCATTTGCTTCTTGGTTGTGAGAAAACCACCTAATTCCCCTCTGTTTCCTCATTAAAAAAATAAAAAGGAGAAAATGGTCCACACTTGGACTGCCAATGGTCAAGGGTAAAATCCCTTCAGACACACACCATGTTCACCCTACTGTCCTGTAGCTTCTGTGGCCATTGACTATTGAGCGTCCTTGTGTGCAAAGAGCAATATCACTGGAAGATTCAGCTTTCTTGTACTATTTCTACAGATCCCCGCTAGATTCCTTTGTTGCCACTGAGGATAAAAAACAGGCTAGATATAAAGTTTTTCCCTATAAATGAGACACTGAGATTCATCAACATAATGAAGCAGCCAATTCAGAGAGTTTGATGCTATCAGACCATGTAACATTTGCCATTTGAGCAAGAATCTCTAGGGTATTTAACATAGATGCGCCGAGCTTTTGTTTTCTAAGTTTTTCCTGGATGTGAGGGTTTCTAGTAATAATGCCAACTCAAGCATTTCTTTGTCTGCCTTTTCATTACTCTTAATTTAGGTCTAACACTGTGGGTGGGCTCTGTGATGGGCCGCCAACCAGGCAAAGCTGAGGCGGTCTACTCCCAGAAAGAGTGACTGCCAGAGAAAGTCTACCCAGGCTTCCTGTGAGTTGGAATCAGGGTTTGGTTTATTGAGATTTAATTCCTATTAAATAATCTCTATTGTCAACGTGTTTTCCTTTCAAGTTTCAGGCTTCTTAGTATAACTAGAAATTACGAAGTGGTTTTTAAAAAAATGTGCATTGTTTTTTAAAATAGTAAATGATCTTTTTGTTGTTGAGAGTAGACACAGTTGACCATAACACCGAGTCAACAATTTCTCCATGTACAACTCTGATACTGTCTACATTTTTCAAGTTGTGCGCCAGTTCTCACCTTACCATTCCAAGTTGTTCCTCCTCCGTTAGCACAGACTCCCTGTCCCCTGAGCTTTCTAGCTAACCTTTCTGGTTGCTGTTGTCAATGAGACTCCATGCAGGCATGTCTTTAAAAGAACACAGTGCTTAAGGGAGACGTTCCTTACTCGTAAGCTAATCTATTACCGGGTTTTTAAAAAACCTGGGAACATTTTTGGTTTTAGGTTTTATGGGAAAGGTGTGGAGGCCACATCTGACCCCCCTTAACTACACAAGGGAGAAGGAGACTCCATCTCCTCAGTAGCGCCAGGTTGATTGCCACAAATCCGAGGCCAGACACCCTTCCATTCCCCATCTTTCTTTAGTCTGACGTAATTGTCCCGCCCGTCATGCGCTGCTTTTCTGCAGGGCTTGCTAATTCGTAGCAATGGCCACACAACTCACTGGTAAGACTTAAAAATGATGGGGGGTTTCTCTGGGGAGTTGGGACATTCCCATGAGTCAGGATCATAAAACATTTAGGATACAGTCTGGTGCACAGCAGTGCCTCTCCTTAGCCGGCAGCCAAATCTCTGGGTTCTCAGTCTCTCATGGCCTCTAGCCTTGTGAGCCAGGAAGCCAGCCCTCTGCTCTGCCTGTTTTACAGTTTTTGTGTGCTGCTCTGTTCTGTTGCATGATCTCCGTGCCTCAGCCTCCAGTCCTGCTGTGGCATGGCCTCTGCCACTCAGGCAGGGATTTCAAACGGGCTCATCTGGAGGCTCTTGATGGTTCTGTGATTCTCTCATGCCTCAGAGATCTAGCTAGCTGTCATATGAAAAAGCAACCCAAAGTGACCAGGCCTCTCTCTGCTAATACCACACATCCTCTGCACAGTCCCACTCAGTAACCTGGTGGATAGAAAAGCCATTACTAAGGAATTTAAAAGCTTTAAGGCTTTTTAAAGCTTTAAAAAGGATCTCAGGGCAATTGTTTTGGTGCATTGTTTCCCAACCTCATATTTGAACATGTCTTGGAACATGTTGGGCAATATAATTTAGAGAAACATTGGAGGGTGATTTTAGATTTAAAGAGTACTCAGGAAATAAAACAAGGGAGAAACATTTAGGTATGACTGCTTCTGAGCTTTGGGAAAAGCCTTGCTAAGCTTGAAGTGAATAATAATGGTGATGAGAGATTTAAGAAGAGTTTTTGCAGTTATATTGTTACTAGAGAAAGAGTTTGGGGAGTTAGGATTCCTGTGTTTGGTACTTAGGCTTGGTGTCAGTGGGGCCGGAGTCTCCGTGGCTTGGCACTTCAGCCTGATTAAACCCTTATAATGTGACCTCAAAGCTCTGACCGGCTTGAGTGTAAGTGCACAGTGGAAAGCTTGGTTTTTTGCTGGGTCTGGATCCTACATCTGGCCCCTTGATTTCCGGTTCTTTAAACTTGAGCCAACAGGCAGCCATATTGCTTGCTAATCCTGGGAGTTGGTGGCTTGCCGACCAGCCTGATCTGCCAACTGTGGATTTATTTACTTCTTCATCCTTAGTCTTCCTGTTGATCTTGGGCTCATCAGCCCTCAGAAGAAGCATCTGCCCGATGCCTGATCCAAGGACTTTGAACTTGCCTGCTTCTGAAACAGCCATTTTCTTGATAGAAACCTCTAGAGAACCATTCTAGAGTTTTGTTACCATGTTTTGCTTCTCTAGGGAACCCAACCTAAAACATTTGTCATCAGTGTAGTCTAGACAAAGTCATAAGGATGGCTTTTTCAAATTCTCAAGTCTTGATTAGTTTTTTTTCCCTTTTTTCTTTTCAATCATTTTATTAGGGGCTCATACAACTCTTATCACAGTCCATACATACATCAATTGTGTAAAGCGCATTTGTACTTCATTGCCCTCATCATTCTCAAAACATTTCCTCTCCACTTAAGCCCCCGGCATTAGGTCCTCATTTTTCCCCTCCCTCCCCGCTCCCCCCTTCCTCATGAGCCCTTGATAATTTATAAATTATTATTTTGTCATACCTTGTCCTGTCCGACGTCTCCCTTCACCCACTTTTCTGTTCTCTGTACCCCAGGGAGGAGGTCACATATAGTTCCTTGTAATCAGTTCCCTCTTTCCATCCCATTCTCCCTCTACCCTCCCAGTATCACCACTCACACCACTGGTCCTGTAGGGATCATCCGCCCTGGATTCCCTGTATTTTCAGTTCCTATCTGTACCAGTGTACATCCTCTGGTCTAGCCAGACTTGCAAGGTCGGATTCAAGTCATGGTAGTGGGAGCGGGGAAGAAGCATTTAGGAACTAGAAAAAAGTTGTATTTTTCATTGTTACTCCATCACCCCCTGACTGGCTTGTCTCCTCCCCGAGACCCCTCTGCAAGGGGATCTCCAGTGGCCTACTAATGGGCTTTGGGTCTCCACTCCGCACTCCCCACATCATTCACTATGGTATGGTTTTTTGTTCTGATGATGCCTTGTACCTGATCCCTTCGACACCTCGTGGTTGCATAGGCTGGTGTGCTTCTTCCACGTGGGCTTTGTTGCTTCTGAGCTTGATGGCCACTTGATTACCTTCAAGCCTTTAAGACCCCAGACACTATGCTTTTTGATAGCTGGGCACCATCAGCTTTCTTCGCCACATTTGCTTATGCACCCATTTGTCTTCAGTGATCTGTTCGACACCTCGTGATCACACAGGCTGATATGTTGTTCCATGTGGGCTTTGTTGCTTCTGAGCTAGATGGCCGCTTGTTTACCTTCAAGCTTTTAAGACCCCAGACGCTGTATCTTTTGATAGCCAGGCACCATCAGCTTTCTTCACATTTGCTTATTGTCTTGATTAGTTTTAAAGGCATGGATAAGTTTCCCTCCATTAGTACTTATTACTCTGCCACCATTACTACAGAGAGGACTTCTAATCCATGGCAGAAGTTGACAGTATGCAAAAAACTACCATCAATAGATCAAATATTGGGAAGTGAGTCTCCAGGTAGTAGTACGTTTGACATGCTTCAATTTTACCACTGGATGGTTAGTACTACTTACAATTATCAAAGTGATAAAAGAAAGAGATGAGCACAGGACTTAAAGCACTTCATAAAACTTCTTATGTGTACCCCGAAAGAAAGCTCTTACTTCTTGTGCTAGCAGAGCTGATAGCGTTGAAAACCAAACCCAGAGTCTGATCATAAGAGTGTCTGAATTACAATGCCAACTGAATTCCCCACAAATGGATCTGATGTTAATGTGTGGACATTGAGAATAAATGGGATCCTGAAACTTGGGATGGGGATATAGAGGCAGATAATCCGGTAGAGACATTGGGTCCCGAAATTCCATTGTATCACTTCAGTCACTAGTCCATCTCTATTATCTTAGTTTGTGTTCTCTAGAGAAGCCAAACGGGGTGTGTGTGTGTGTGTGTGTGTGTGTGTGTGTGTGTGTGTGTGTGTGTATACAAGTTCAAAGCCAATGGGTCAGATGTTAGGTGGTAGGCTTTTGAGCCCAAAGCAGCAGGAAGCTTACTTGTAGCTGCACAGTCACATTGTCCTATTAACGGAAAAGTTGGAGTTTCAAACCTAGCCACACCATGATTGGCAGGTCAGGTGGATTGGCAAGCCACTGACTTCCAGAATTGGTAGGCAATATGGCAGGCTGTTGGTTCGAGTCCAAAGAGCGAGAGGTCAGTGAGCCAGATACAGCATCCCAGACCCAGGGAAAAACCCCAAGTTTCCCTACAGTATCTACTTAAATTGGGAGCAGGCCATACCCTTGAGGAGACCTTGTCATGGGGAGTATTGGGTCTCAGCTGCCAAACCACTGAGAAGCTGGTTCAATCATGATGCAAAACCATAGCCATCAATCACACTGCATAACTAGAATTTATGCTTATTAGCGGCATAACTCTCAGGCTGTTTCCCCATTAATAATTGGGGAATTGAGAATTAACAAGAGAAAATGCCTTGCATAGTACCTGAACATTGTCGATAAAGACAGGCTCTCTACCC